TCTGCTCAAAAATATTGTCTGGGAAAATGCCTACAAAACCTCTCTGCATCCTATATCAATTCTACAAAAAAATTTCTACGCATTGCCACTGGTTCAAGTTTTTACACCCACTCTTCGCCTCTATTTAAAAAACTTAGACTTTTGAACATTTACGACATAAACAGATTTCAACTTGTACTTTTCGTAGCCCAATATATAAACCATAAACTCCCGGACACATTTGATGACTTTTTTAATTTTCGTTCTCAGATTCACAACTATCAAACTCGCAAACGTTCCGATTTTCATATCCCCCTAGTAAAAACTTCTCTTGCCGAAATGTCGGTTAGATACAAAGGTGTCACCTTATGGAATGAAGTAACTCCAGCCCTAAAGAATCCTACCTTGTCTCTTCTCTCACTTAAACAAGCTTTGAAAAACCATCTGATTAACGAACCTAGCCCCCTGTAGTAGTTTTATTTAGTTCCGAAAATAGTTTCATCAGGTTGGTAAAACTTAAGAGATATGGGAATTCTTTTTACACAACCAAAGAGTCTCACCTCGCTGACGTTTCGGTGTCTGTCAGACACCTTCTTCAGAGCTTCTGACTGGAGTACTGCATCTCGCCGCTATATGTAGCCGATGTAGGTGGCGCTTTTGCGGCGAGAACACTATCCCAAACGTGGCTTAGTTTGTACCCCCCCTCGTCCCGGTTCATTACAGGGGTTGACTTTCTGATCCATACTGCCTCCTTGATCCAGCGGGTCCTTCTATTGTCTTCTCTGTCTATAACTTTCGCCCCCTCCCAGTCAATTACGCAGTTATTTCTAGCAATGTGATCTGTCACTGCTGATTTCTTTTCTTCTTTTTGTGCATGTCTTTTCTGTGATCTTGTGTACTTCACTGTGTCCATGTTGTCAGCTTCCTTCTTGTGTTCTTCTAATCTAGTCCCAAATGTGCGTCCGTTTCCCCCTATGTAAACTTCACTGCAGCTCTTGCACGGGATCTTGTATATGCAGTCCGTTTTAGCCGTGTCCTGTAGTTTGTCTTTTGGGTGGACCAACAGACTCCTCAGTGTGGTTTTTGGCTTTACTGCGGTGGCAATGTTGTGTTTTCTGAACACTCTTTCAAGGGGCTCTGTGATTCCTTTGACATAGGGGATGATGACCATGGCCCTCGTTTTATCTTCCTGCTTGTTGCTCTTGTCCTTACGCTTGGGTTGCTTACTTCGTTGTTCCACTTTCTTAAATGTCCATGGTGGGTAACCACACCGTGTTAGGGCTTTCTTGACATGTTCTGTCTCTAGTGCTTTGTCTGCATCTTCAGTGACTACTGCATTGCACCGGTCTAGTAAGGTGCGAATGACTCCGAGTTTTTGGTGAAGGGGATATGGTGAGATTGGAAATTCAGGTACTGGTCTGTGTGTGTGGACTTTCTGTATACTAGGAGTTTCACTGTGCCATCTTCCTTCCTTACCATCAGGGTGTCGAGGAAGGGTAGCGTGCCATCTTTCTCTTCTTCCTGTGTAAACTGGATACTCCCCGTAGGGTCAGTGTTGTTCAGATGATCTGTAAGTTCCTGTTGTACCCCCCTCTTCACAATCTCCATGATGTCGTCAACGTACCTCTTCCATAACTTCGGCCTACAGTTGATGGGAGCTGTGGCTATGGCTTGTCGTTCCAGCCATTCCATGAAGAGATTAGCTAATACTGGGGACACCGGGCTCCCCATGGCTGTGCCAAACTTTTGCTGGTAAATGTTGCCCCTGAAGCTGAAGTACGTTGTAGTGACGATAAAGGACAGCAGTTCAATAATGTCCTCTATCTCAAGGTTGGTCCTACTCTTGAGATCTTTGTCTCCTTGGAGTCTATTCTTGATTATGTTGAGTGTCTCTGGGATGGGGGTGTTCGTAAAAAGAGATACCACGTCGTGTGACAAAAACATCTCATCTTCTTCCAGCAAGATGGAGGACATTTCTTCCGCTAGATGTTTAGAGTTCTTGATGTGGTGTGTGGACTGTCCAACTAGTGGTGCTAGCAGATCTGCCAGGGCTCTTGACGTGTTATACCCTATGGATCCCGTGTAATCGACTATGGGGCGCCGAAACGTCAGCGAGGTGAGACTCTTTGGTTGTGTAAAAAGAATTCCCATATCTCTTAAGTTTTATTTAGTGTTTTCTCCTATTATAACTCAGACAAATTATTATCATTACCTTATTTTCATTGTCATTAACTTATACCATACATTATTTCATTATCCTTATTGTATTATTTCCATTTTCTATTGTATTATTTCCATTTATTAATTATATTTAATTTTGTATAGTTTAGAGGAGGAGGGCTTAGTATAAGCATGCCATGCTTCTCCCCTCCTCCTGCACCTGTTTTATCATTGTTTTTATATTATCATTGTCCGTCTTGTTAATGTGCAAACAATAAAAATCAAATCAAATCAAAAATCAAATCAAAAAAATCAAACCCCTCATCTTATGTTGCAATACAATGGCGTAGTTACTTCCGCATTCGTTTCGTTTCGCTGCGGCGTAATACGTTGCACGAAAATAACCCTAAATTGTACACATACGGGGCACCATATGCATGATAATGTATGTGCAACCCATGCTTTATGACACCAAAAATGTATGATATATTCCGACAGTTGATGATATGCGTTCTAATCCGTACCAGCTTCATGTTGGCAACAAGTTAAATTGTAGTCAGCAAATAAACCGCTAAGTAAGAAGAAGATGAGAAGATGAATGTCAAATCTTACAAGATGATACAGAAATATGTCTTGTATCTCAGCAGTCAGTCTACCTACCCGCTCGTCCCGTGCGTCCACATCTGCACCAGCTGTCAGTAAAACTGACACAGTTTCATGGTGGCCATGCAGGGCTGCCCAGTGCAGGGGAGACTTTTGCTGTAAAATACATCAGATGGTCTTCAGCATGATAACAGGTCGGAAACTCCTATAGAGCTATACAAATATAAACTTCGTATATTGTTGTGTGTTGGTGAAATTTTTGTTTTGGTTATATTTTAAACAGCAAATGCCATGAAGACAATGAATGCCAAATCTTACAAAATAATAAAAATATGTCTTGTATCACAGCAATAAGTCTACCTACCAGATCGCCCCGTGCGTTCACATCTGCACCAGCTGTCAGTAAAACTGATACAGTTTCATGGTGACCATCCCTGGCTGCCAGGTGCAGGGGAGAGTCTTGCTGTAAAATACATCAGATGGCCTTCAGCATGACAACAGGTCTGACAAATGTGCAGTTATTTTCTTGACTATTCTAACGGAGTTCAGCAAGTAAACCGCTATACAGCTGACATTAAATGGCCTTTAGCACGACAACAGGACGGACAAATGTTCATGTCGGTGGCAGCTCTAGTCAGCACATCAACCGTTATGTAAAAATGAATGTCAAATCTTACAAAATGGTACAGAAATATTTCTTGTCTCACAATACTTAGTCTACCTACATCAACGTTCCGTGCGTTCACATCTGCACCAGCTGTCAGTAAAACTGATACAGTTTCATGGCTGCCACTCCTGGCTGCCCAGTGCAGGGGAGACTCTTGCTGTAAAAAAAAGATCAGATGGTCTTCAGCATGACAACAGGACGGACAAATATGCAGTTATTTTGTTGACAATTCTAACGGAATTCAGCAAGTAAACTGCTATAAAGCTGAAGATAGTTGTCAATCCCATAAGAGACATAAAATGTTTCTGCGTCACAGCAGTCAGTCTACCTACGTCATCGCCCCGTGCGTTCACATCTGCACCAGCTGCCAGTAATGCTGATACAGTTTCATGGTGACCATTCCAGGCTGCCAGGTGCAGGGGAGAGACTTGCTGTAAAATACATCAGATGGTCTTCAGCATGACAACAGGTCGGAAAATGTGCAGTTATTTTGTTGACAA